CACATTTAGACCAGATTCTGGTCGTTTTTGATATTTTACCTTTGAGTTCGTGCGCATGCTCACTTCACGAATCCCACCATTCTCCGCGAATATACTTGCGCAATTCTCTTGTACATAATTGGACTAACTCTAGTGTGCGAGGGGGCGAGCACGTCGCTAAGGTGTACCAATAGAGAAAAGTCAAGGCAATTCATGATATGTTATCTATTGTTATTAATCTTATAAATATAAATATTGTTATTAACAATGAAATCGGTACTAAGCGGAGAGTATTCCCCAAGGGGCCTTTTTATTATGTATTTCACTTTTTTTTGTGGCAGGGGAATCTCAAAAGGATTTGGCAATTGTTTACATTACAACTACAATTTTCGCTTTTTTTCTGTGTGCGTCGGGTTATGAATTTATTTGCGCATCCTGAACCTTCACTTTCAAAATGAAATTATGGAAGCGTTGTATCATCCGCTCAATCCGACTTACGTGCATCCCGCCTCCCCCCCCCCCCACTCCGAGAACGGATGTATACCATGCGTGTTCCCAAAAAGTCTGGTAAAGGGGTACTTTTCACGCACCAAAGTCCGGCTTGTAGTACCAAATATCCGTTCCGTATTGACTTTACACACCGGACTTGGGGGGGGGGGGGGGAGTTTTCAAAAGGAGGGAACATGCATAAATTATGCGTACCTGGGACTGGGACGGGCATAAAACAATTACGAATTTCTGCATATTAAAAAAGAAAAGTTTTCAAAAAATTGCGTTTCCAGCATGTGGGTGCCCGGGAGTCACTAAGTTAACCTTTCAAAGATTATTGTATAACAAAAAAATATGGCACTTTCTCTGCACTTTTGTCGGAAAAAACATAGTAACCCAGCACAATGTCGTCTCTTTTTGCCTTGGAGAAGAGCAAAATAGCGCGCTTCGGCAGCTCTCGCAACCCCTCACTCGTTCCATTGTGGTCAGGCGGCTTTGGGGTGAGCTGCTAATGAATTTACTAATCGTTAGCTTTCTTCTGGTACTAAACTTGTTTTGATTGGTTGTATATTTTTGTAGCAATTTACCCATTCACATAATGGAACAACCTGCCCGATGAAACTAGTGGCCCGTGACCCCTGTACTTAACATCACTGTTTGGGAGTTAGTTTATGGTCAATTCCTTTTATGAGAAAATTCCGAGCAAACCTTTCAATATGAAAATCTCTTTTCCGCAGTTTCCGAGATTAAACAATAATGGCGATTGTAAATCCTGTATAATGCCCTGGGTGTTTGCATTAAGTTTGACTCAATCTACTTCAATTTAAAGGTAGTTATAAATATGCATATGGCTCCGGTTAGTCTCATTTCACAACGCCCCCTATCGTCAGAGCATGATCAGAGTCAGCAGCCTAACATGTTAGCCTATGGACGTTTTTTTAAAAAATCGTTAAAAATTCATTTTTTGTTTAAACGAAAAGCACATCCACCCCGACGTACGTTATCACTAGCTCTTTCATTGGAGCCCTCATGTCTCATTGACTTTTGAAAGTTCACCCACCGTAATTTTTCAAAATAGGTTGCAAGCTCGTCATTGCCTATAATACACATGTGAAACAAGTCTAACTTTGGACTCAGTTTACCAAGCGATTTGAAGATTATAGGTCGAGCACACGAAACATAAAAAGCATGAATTATCATAGATCACTTCTGCCTATTTCATTATGTCCATTTCATCCAACCCCCCACCGTAATTTTTCCATTTAGTAAAAGCAAACATTTTGCCGAGTTTAGCAAAAACATGAATATTCATGAACTATCAGACAATACAGCCTTTATAGTACGCAACGTATAGTGAATGGGAATGGGCGACGATCCGTTCAGCAGGTAGAGGTCAGTGGTTTGTGCTGGCAATGTTCACGCGAGCGAAAATGAGACAATCGGAGCAATATGGAAGCAGCGAGTTTCGGGACCATACTGCTACAGTCGACCTGAGATGGCGCTAAAAGATTCTGCGGTAGTACGTGTTTCTAGTACAGTGTTGCTTTAAAGAACTACGGTCTTGCTACAAGATTTGTGAACCGTTAATTTCCTCATTTCTTCTTTAAAATTCAAACAGGTGCTGGCACGGGCGATGGTATCTAGATGAAATGACAACAGGCCCGGATGCCACACTGTTGCCCCGACCCATGTTTCGACTTCCACTCCAAGACCCCCTGCAGGTGGTTGCTTAACTTCGTGTCTATGTGTGTATGTCTTTTTATCATTGCGCAGTGAAAGAAAATAGAAATAGTTCAATAAAATAAACTCCTGAACATCACATAGAATTGTTAATGTGTTTCTTCTTAATGTGGCTCATGAGGTGCGTGTGTGTGGGCGCGGGGAGTGTATGTTTGTGTCAGAGAGTGAGATTGGGGAGTAGGGCTATAGGGAAAGGAAAAAGAGAAAGCGAAATTAAGATAAGAAGAAAAGAGAGAGAGAGAGAGAGAGAGAGAGATTGTGAGAGAGACAGGGAGACATAGAAATGGTGGATTAGGGCGACGGATAGAAAAATGAGAACAAGAAAGCGAAATATAGACAAATAAGGAAATATTAATAGCGAGAGAGAAAGAGAGAACGACCACAATAAAGTTAAAATAGAAAAGAAAAAAGAATAATGACAAAAAATAAATACAAGCAAAACTAGACGAACAAACAAACAAACAAAAAGCAGGTCAAACTATCATGTCGATCTGATCAGGTACACGATTCTAAGAAAGAATGGTAGTATCCTGATAACACAAAAAAAAATATGATCAGAAATACGCAATTTAAAAGCAAAGAAGTGTCATGTTACAATAATATTTAAAAGCAGTGTAGAAAAAATTCCATGACAAACGTGAGTATGATAATTTACCAAATAAATCTTTTATACCAATAACATCGGGAGGCAAAATATGATTCCTCACAAATTCTTACGATATGTTTTCTTTTTTCTTTAAGGTTTACACGGGGGTTTACAAAATGCAATTTCTAAAATGCACTAAAGGAATCGTTTAACAATACAGATTTAAATAACGAGGAACCTTAACAGTGATAGTTATATGTTATTATTCTTCCACTATATTGCCAGAATATATAGGATTTCTTGCATGCTTAACATTTTAATACAATGAACTATTACGTCCCATTTAATTATCGAGTTTAGAACTTGTTTTAAGAGCAGAAAAGTTAAAGGGCACTTTAAGCACTCTAGGAAATATTAATTAATTAATTAATGAATTAATTTTTTTTTTTTTTGGGGGGGGGGGGGGGGAGTGAGCACTTATTTTTTTTTGCTCCCGAAAATTTACTTTACAGTAATTGTGCATATAACTAATTATATGTATTAGGGATAGTTGTTATTTCAGATGTGCATCAATTTTTTCTTTGAGTAGGGATGGTTTTTCATGGTGGAGATTAAAGATAAACTTGAGTACTGGTAATGCGATTGCATTGTCAAAGAAAAGGTGTGAATTGGATCAGAAAAGTTGATCATATAGCATGTAAGTAATGGTGTGTAATGCAAGGTTCTGGAGTCATCAAAATCATCATAAATTTGGCAGAGTCTTGGTACGTAAAGTAACAATCACTTACACAGATAGATGTATATGGGACAACACACATGGTGTCGGGGCTAGTACTACCCTGATTTCCTTATCTTTCTATGCTCATTACTCAGCCAGTATACATTTTCTTCCAAAATTGTTTGGCACATGACATTTATTTGTAATCTTGAACATTCAGTGTATTTTTCGTTAGATTCTGTGAGAATTCATTTTCTTTTTTTTACCAGAACTCAAGTTTATCTTTAAAAAAAAAAAAGGTTCGGGCAGGATTAATTGCTTGCAACTTATTTTGTGTAAAAACATTAGTTTTGTCACAAGTGGGCTCAATTACCCATGCTATCTTCTTCGTCTTCTTCTTCTTGGTTTCCTCCAGGTTTGGAGAACTGCGGAGTGTATCCTTCGCAGATTGAGTAAATAGATAATAGACAGACAATACAAAACTGGGTACATAATATCAAAGATCACAAGATGTGCAGATGACAGCTTATGCAGGAGCTGCTTTATTCACAACAGAACGTTTCGAGTGCATATCTAAGATGAATGTTATGGATGCAGCATGGTAATCCAGGGCCTGGGCAGTTATGGGTGGGTCATCGTTGACTCCAAGGAGGATGAGATTTGTGGTGACATCGGCCACGAGATGAGGAGGAACTAATTGTTTACTCATTATCATGATCCTATCTGTTTGGATTGAAATAAATAAAGATTAAATTTGAATTTGAATTTGAGTTTGAATTTGAATTTGAATTTGAATTTGAATTTGTTCAGCATTCAAAGTACAGGTAATGTCAAGTTTTATAACGAGTATTTTTCACCTTCATTTGTTCTAATTAGTCATTGATGAATATCGTAAAGTGACTTGGTAACATTGATGAAGGTTGATTAAAAATTTGTGGCAATTTACATTCACCTAAAATGTAATTCAGTTGTAATAATATAGTTGGGGGAATTAAGGAATCCATCAGATCAGTTTTTCCCAATTTGTATCATTAATAATGGTCCTTTTTCACTCAAATTTTCCGATTATCTTTAATTGTACATCGAGTATTGAAGTCACTACCTTAGCACCGCTTAACAATGTTACAAAGTCCCTTCAATGGAAAGGTTTGTGCATTTGAAGTTACATTAACATTATAGGCCCGAATTCACAAAGCAAGGTTTGAGCTCAAACCTCCTTTTGTTTCGCCAAACCTCCTTTTGTTCTTTACAAACCAGGTTTGTGAAAAACGCGTAAAACGCGTCATATGACGTACGAAAACCAAGGTTTGTCGACAAACCTACTTTGTGAATTCGGGCCATAATGTTTATCACTGTCAAAGTGCGTGATATGTACATATCAAGCTCTATCAGACATTGTTTGCTGAACGTCCTGCCGAAAAGGTTGTTGACAAATGTTTTTATAAACGGCCTTTTATCTTATCCCCTAAAATGCCTCTATATGTGTAAGTTGTGTGTACCATTGTAAACGGTTTGGTTGATTCGTACTCTAATGACGGAGGCACTCTATTATTACCAAGATTTTAAAAACATATATAAGAAGGCGGCCGAGAAAGGGTAAGTTTTTCTACACTGTAGATAAGTGAGGTAAAAATATGTACCCGATATAAGCTACAAAGGGGACATATAATGTTTGTTGGGTTAAACATTGCCCTATATTGGGTAAATTTTACCAAAAAAGCCAGTGCACGGTTGCAGTCTTAGCATGAGCAGGTAAAGGCCATTGCAAACCAAATTGTGAAATACACGGAGACAAAATACTGGATGAGTGCTCATGAAAGTTATGTAATAATTCGTCCTTGTTTTCACGAAGTGACGGTAGTGAGGAAAATCGTAACGCAAAGTGAATGCAATTTTTTTTCACTACCGTCACTTCGTGAAAACAGCGACGAATTATTCATTTATGCACGATCAGTGCTCTCCACTATACACTGGTGGAAGTGTTTTTTGAAAAGGGGGAAACAAAGGCTATTTATATAGCACCCCATCGCTGTAGGAGTGATAATTTCAAAATGAACAAAGTGGGACCTCTTCATGTTTTGAAGATCTGTGGATATACGGGGTCATTTGGGACATGTGCTAACCTCGAACTGGTCTATTAAAGGCTCGACCGTTCACATATGATGCGGGAAAACCCGCGGCGTTTTTTTTGTATGCCGTAAAACGTACTACATTCAGTTTTCTGTGTAAAATAACACAGGGCGGTGTCAGACCAAAGAGATACCAGCAATTTTCCCGATCTTTCTTGAATACGCCAGTTTACGGTTGCAGTCTGAGCATGAGCAGATAACGGTAATTGCAGAACAAATTGAGAAATACACGGATACGAAGTACTGAATACGTGCTCATAAATGTTATGTAATCATTAATCATTTATGCACTCAATGTTACACAGATGGAATTTTGTTTTGAAAGGGGAAACAAAGGCTATTTATGTAGCACCTCCATCGCTGTAGGAGTGATTATTTCAAAATGTCCAAAGTGGGATCTCAACATCTGTGGATACTCGGGGTCATTGCAGTAATGTGCTAACCGTGAACTGGTCTATTATCTAGATAATTCACTTACGTAGGTGAAAGACAGGCTACGAATTATCGAGATTACTATTATCTATATAATTGAAAGGCCAGTGCGCATGTACCGTACAGGTAGATATGCATTGTGACATCACACGCTCAATCAAAAGTAATGCGCAATGACAATGACAATTTTATTCTCATGTCACCCACATTAGGGTGTTGGAGAAGTTTACAATCAGTGTGAATTTGTCAATTTAACACTGTGCAATTTACAATACAAATTGAATTAATGTTAATCAATACAAAATAACACTATCGCGTGAAAAATACTTAAAAGTTCATAAAATATTTTGTGAAATGTCATGCACGCATTATGACAAGTTTTGGGGGATAAAAAGGGAAATTAATGGGATAGAAATATATAAAGCAGTTACAAAAATAGTGAGGCAATGACGACACAAACGGATAACCAAATTGGCAATTTGTGTGGTGATTAGCTAAGTTCCATAGTTTTTCATATTTAATTTTGTTTATAACTTCCTTATTAATTATTTAATTTCACTCAAACTTGTTTTGATTGGTTTGTCTGATTTGTCCGCATCTATTTAAAGCAAATTATTGTTGGAGTGGACCTAGACCCCGTTTACAGTGAGAAAAGGGCCCCGTAATTTTGTGCGTTTACAGTGCTAGGCCAGGCCGCGGCCTGGCCTAGCACTGTTAACGCACAAAATTCCGGGGTAACAGTTGGCCCCGCAACTGGCCGCGCATTTGGTGCGTTTATAGTGAGAAAAAACACTGTGCTCGATAGGAAAGACATATATAATCCATTTTCATGATTACAGATATCCTTTACTGGAAAAACCATCCACCCACTTCATTCGATAGGTAATTTTAGTAATAGTTTTCCTTCGTCTCGATTCTTTATGTATTTATACAGATACAGGCAGCAACATGAGTTCAGGTTTTTCATCAAAGGTCCCCGATTGCGTGGTCCAGACATGCTACGAGTACGAAGGCGTCATTATGCCTGTCTTCATGCCCTTGTCGGTGCTGAAGCGCGTCAGGGAATTCAAATGTCGACCCGATGACCTGTTTATTGTGACCTTTCCGAAGTCAGGTAGATATACAGATTTATTGCGATCCTAAGAATTTAAGATTTTAAAGGTAAAAAAGACCAGTATTGGAAACGCCCCAATTTCAAAAAATGAAATGGAAGCTCTTATTACCAATCATGTGAAAGAATATGTTTTGACTAATACATGATTATAAAAAAATTGCCGGGAAACCGCCTACTAATTGATATATTTGGTAAATTAGTTTATCTATTGGCCTGTGAGAGATAAACGCAAGTGTCGCGCATGTGTGCATAGTCCCATATACATCTTTCTGTGTGCAGTGCTTGTAACTTTACGAAGACTGGGCCAAATTTATTATCATTTTGAGGATTCCAGAACCTTGCAGTACACACAACAACTTGTATGCTAGATGATCAACCTTTTCTGGTCGATTCCACAACGTTTCTTTCACAATGCAATCGCATGACCATAACTGGTCTTTATCTTTAATGTGAATATCATTTTGTCTAGAAATCATGCAAAAATGTAACTAGGTTATTGAAACTTGGTTCTTAAATATGAATCGTCTAATCGGACAATCAGTAGAGGCCCATTAAAACAACACAGGCAGTCACAGACTTAATTGTGCATGTTTTTTTTACAGTGCAAGTAAAATACAATAATACAAACAGTAATATTAAGTCTCTCAAATTTTCAAAGGTTCTTAAAATTAGTTACATTAATACATTAAATGAAGCATAATCAAAGGCTGTTGTAACCAGCAGTATTACTAAATATCTCACTCCCATCAGTGACAAATAATGCACGATATTTATAATGAAAAAGTAGAAGGTCAAAAAACAAAAAAGAAGTGTGTTTATGGAAAAAGGTAAGTATTGTGGGCAACAGAAAACAGAGACTTTAGAACTCGATTGAAAATATCCCATCTAGTCTCTTCACAAAGCCTAAGATCGCCCGGCCCCCCTCCCTCACTCCGTGAACGGAGGGATACCATGCGTGTTATCAAAATGTCCGGTACAGGGGTACTTTTCACGCACCAACGTCCGGCTCGTACATACAAAAAAAAAAAAAAATTACACACCGGACTTAGGGGGTGTTTTCAAAAGGAGGAAACATGCATATGCGTATACCCTAAATAACACTGAGTGGAGGGGCCGGGTAAGATCGACTCTAATCGGACTTGAATTATGGCAGGCCATTTTTTCATCTAATTTTACATCTGGTTTAATAGTTTGTATAGGGGGTATAAACTACTTACCATTGTTTGAGCCCAAGTCTTATAAATAGAACTTGATTAAATATTTTTTCTCAAATGAACTATCAAAAAACGTAAATCCTGTAGATTTAAAGTAACAGTTTGCACACACTTGCGAGTTTAATGCCAGGATTGGTGAGAGCAGCCAGCCATGGCATAAACGGACTACCTTAGGTCAAGTCCAACTTAAAGGACCCCTCCAATCAAAACGGGCTTACCGTTGAAAAAAAGACGTGTAGACGAGTTTTTGACGGACATTCCGAATATGAATGATTTTTCCTAGAAACCATCAATAATTCTGGAATCTAGCTTTAAAAATACAACTCGGACCGCTCAGAAAAAGCCCAGTTTCGGAGCTGTATTACGCAATAGGATATGACGTCACTGCAGGAGAAAACATAGCAGGTACGCCCGCTCAGCGCAGCGAAAGTATACAGATAACACTTGTGTCTGGATAATTCTTTCCTTGGTTATGTAAGAATTTCACTGTGAAAGAAAAGGAGAAATGACTAGAGAAGACAATGAGAGCGATGCAGTTGCAAGTGATTTCAATAATCAATCGGACAGTGATCAGGACTTTAGGAAGTGTTTGAAGAAGTAAATTTCACTGCACTTTTCATACATAATAATGAAACCCTATCAGTTCGAGCCATAGCTAGGGCCAGAGCTCCGAGTCGACGATTTGCCGATTAATAAGCAGGCCTGAGAATTACCCGATTTAAAAATTTTAAAAATCCTTGATTTTTTCCCGTTTTTTTCTTCCCGATTTTTTCCGCCGAATTTTCCATTTTTTCTCTATTCTCCCCTATTTCCCCTATTTTGTTCCCAATTTTTTGTTGTTGGGGGGAATGGTGTTAGATGTCTCCCCCCCCCCGAATCCTCTTCTATTTTTTACTCAAGGGGGCGTGGTTGAGGGGAATTTTTTTTTTTTTTTTTAGTGCTCACTATCACCCCTGAATAAGACAATTTCTATTTTCACGTACAAGGCACAACGTGGGTGGAGCAGCTGTGTCTGTTAATTCAACATGACGGTGATTTCAGCAAACTGGAAGGCACCCATGTCATGAAGGCGGTTCCATTCCTTGAGATCGTGGAAGACAACCGAAACCCATCGGTAGGTACAATCAGGGGGCGTCGCTAGACTTTTTTCAGTGGGGAGGGGGGGGGGGTGAAGAGGCCGCCAATTACCGACAAAACTAGCCACCAATTACCGACATATATATAAATGCCAATCTGACCTATAAACTTTGCTCTTTGTTATAATATAAGAAGCGAAAGCGTATTACATTACGTCCTCATGAAAAAAATATTTAAAAACTGTCGCGTAGTCTACTACGAGGTTTAAACGAGGATAGCCTACCTTTCTAAATTATGAGAGCATGTTAAAAAACAATCCACATAATGTTTAATGTTTTTCAATCCGCATATAAATACAAAAAATGAGAGTACGTGCAATCACCTTGTAAAGTGGGTGTAAGTCCATTCAGGTGGTTCAAGGCCCCTTATTTTAGCATGTTAATTCACAATTGTAAGATTTGACTATTTCCGTACTGACTATATTCATGTTGACTATTATCATACTTATTTAATTAATAATGTCTAATCTTATATTGTGACGTCATTTTAGTCATCGCCAGTAATCGACAGGGCTGAAAAGATGGCGTCACCAAGGATACTCAAATCTCACTGCCATTCGCCTTTCCTACCCGAGGATATCAGCACCGATGATCCGAAAGCTAAGGTAAATTTGTGGCTACATTTTAATACCTTAAGCCCCTTTCAAACCGGATCTGCTTAGACTTGCGTAGTGTGGCGTACCGAGTACGCCAAACGTAGGCTGCGTATTCATGAAAACAATATTGCTTCGACATAGTCCCTGCGTAGGTAAAATGCGTAGGCTTGCGGACAATGGCCAATGGTTGCATACCCTGTGCGAAGGCGTACCTACGGCATATGCAATTGGCGTGCTTACATGTTCGATTGCGTATAACAGGCGTAAGTTTGCATACGTTTACGTAGGCCTGGCGTAAAGGGTACATAGGTTTGCTTACAGTTGCGTATAGTTGCTTACTGTGTGCAGGTAGAATCTAGGACGCCTTTGTACGCTTTTACTGCTTCGTCGGACTGGCGTAGGGTAGCGTACTATTTCGTAGGCATGGCGTACAGTAGCGTAGTGTTGGCATATTGCTCCGATTGTCTCATTTTCGCTCGCGTGAACATTGCCAGCACAAACCACTGACCTCTACCTCCTACACGGATCATCGCACATTCCCATTCACTATACGTTACGTACTAAAAGGCTGTATTGTCTGACCGTTCATGAATATTCATGTTTTTGCTAAACTCGGCAAAATGTTTGCTTTTACTAAATGGAAAAATTACGGTGGGGGGTTGGATGAAATGGACAAAACGAAATAGGCAGAAGTGATCTATGATAATTCATGCTTTTTATGTTTCGTGTGCTCGACCTATAATCTTCAAATCGCTTGGTAAACTGAGTCCAAAGTTAGACTTGTTTTACATGTGTATTATAGGCAATGACGAGCTTGCAACCTATTTTGAAAAATTACGGTGGGTGAACTCTCAAAAGTCAATGAGACATGAGGGCTCCAATGAAAGAGCTAGTGATAACGTACGTCGGGGTGGATGTGCTTTTCGTTTAAACAAAAAAATGAATTTTTTAACGATTTTTAAAAAAAAACGTCCATAGGCTAACATGTTAGGCTGCTGAATCTGACCATGCTCTGACGATAGGGGGCGTTGTGAAATGAGACTAAACGGAGCCATATGGATAGACTTACGTAAACAATGTGTACTTTCTGCGTCTAGTGTTTATGCCGAAAGTCACGTACCCTTTTGCGTCCCTCAGCGTATAGTTACGAAAGCCAGCGTAGGGTAGCGTACGCTTGGCGTAGTCGGTACGCAACACTACGCAGTTCTACGTATGGCCCGGTGTGAAACCCGCTTTAGTCACACCAACGAGACCCTTGTCACAGTCCAGAATCTCCGGCCGTGTCAGATAATTACCGGAGTGTTAAATTCATATTCGCTCGTCGCTAAGGTTACTGGTTCTAAACAACAAAACTTGCGCACGAGGTTAACCACGAAACCATTCAAGCAACGGGCTGGATCAGGGTAGGGAAATTTCAACATTTGGGGCTGGAATGATTCCCACTTCCCTGGGTTCTTCACTGGATTATGATCTATAATGTATGCAATTCGCATTCTGACTACTTGGATAAAATTATTCGTAAAAGGTGCATAAAATAAAATAATCTAGGCACTTCACAGTTACATATGAATACAATTTGGTAACATTACGAAAATATTGAGTTGATTTGCAGGTGATTTACGTAGCCCGGAACCCAAAGGATACGGCTGTTTCCTACTACCATTTCTGCCATTACATTCCACCCCTGCCGAGCTATGATTCTTGGGATATGTTCTTTGAAGAGTTTCTAGCTAACAGGGGTAAGTCGTCATTTAGAATTTTATACTCAAGAAGGGAAATTTTCTGAAAAATGAAAACTGAACGTGATCGCAGATACAGCCGAAGACTATTTCAAAAGCTTTGTCAATTACTTATTGAAATGTGTGGTCGTACTAATGAGGTATTACGCAATCTGACCAATGTTTCTATAATATATTATTATTATTATTATTATTACTATTATTAATGATTTCGTGTAACCTGTGCGTGGGAGGTAAAAAGTGAACTGGATCACTGTAATCCTTGTGTGTCTTCTCTCGATATAACTGATTGGGGTGCACAGGTGGACCACTTTACCGGGGTTCCCCACTACTCCTATACGACTAGTGCAGTGTGTTCTTAACGTGCAAAAGTGGTGACTCCCCTCTACAATCTAAGATGCTACCCGAGGGACTTCCCCCTTTAATTCCCACTTTACAGACCAAGGATTCGATGCGAAAACCAACAGCGCGCAGCTACGGAATCGGCGAGCCCCGGAACCATACTGCTACTGCTGACTTGAGGTGGCGTAAGAGGAGATTTTGCGGTTATGCTGCTAGTACAGCATGGCTTTAAAATATGGGTACATTGAAAACACATGCTTCAAACAAGATTATTTTGGCAATAATTATTGAAATAACTTTTGAGATTATATCTTCAAAGTCATTGCGATTGCATTATTTTTACCTTAGCTCCTCAAGGATCTTGGTTTGAAAACGTGTTGCCATGGTGGAAGAGAAGGAATCATCCAAACGTTCTCTTTCTCAAGTACGAAGATATGAAGAAGGTGAGTTGTATCGTTGTATCCACTAAAATATGATATTCTTTATTTACTTCAATCATTTAAAAAGTATGGGTAAATTTGTCGAAAATTTTGCAAGCATAACTGAAATAGAAGGACAGAAGTACATATATTTCAACTTTGTACCATAAAAGGGTCCGGACATTTACAACATGAAAATTACAACCGGCCAATTCTTTTATGTTACCAAAATGAAAAGGCGCTATTTCGGATTGGTTTGGATCTAATAGCAAAAGACAATACCCCCTGTCATAAAAACTAATTATCATATCAAGCCGTTCCTCTATAGCGCATTATGATATAACGTCCTTATGCACTTCCAAAAATGTTTGGTTATTATTATTATTATTAAAACTCGCTTTAGCTCTGGCAGCCGTTATCAGCACAGCATTTCAAGAAATGACTCCCATCAGGTGCTCATTAAACACCTGGGTGGAGAGTGGCAAATGTGCCTTTATTGCCTTGCTGGACAAGTTACTCCTTCAGCGAAAAGCCCCCTTAGAATATGACCCCTAACAGATGACAGCTATCTTTGGGTAAACGTATTAGATTCAGTTTTACGTGGAATCATTATGTTTTATATTTTCAACAACAAGAACAATAACAACAATAAGAATGATAATACTAATAATGATTATGATGATGATGATGACGATAAGATAATGATGGTGATAATGATAATAATAATATCACTACTACTACTAATATACTACTACTACTACTACTACTACTACTACTACTACTACTACTAATACTAATACTACTACTAATACTAATACCACTACTTCTGGTACTAATAATAGTAATGATACTGATAATGATACTGATAACGATGATAATAATTACAATAACAACAATATACGTACTTTATAGCTCTTTTTCTAAAGATACGAAGCTAGTTTTGTAATAGAAACAATAACAATGTCTGTAATCTTGAGACCATATTAACAAAATATATCATAATTTCAATGGTGAATTTTTTTTGATAATGTTAAATAAGATAATTCTTAATTCCTCATACGAATTGTAGGACCTACAAGGAGCCGTACGACGGATAGCTGAATTCATGGGAAAGCCCCTTTCAGATGACGTCATCGAGAACATCTCAGAAGCTTCTACGTTTAAGGCAATGAAGAAGAACCCTTTATCAAATCCCGATAGTCTGATACAGAATGGCAACCGGGAGTCCGGACTCGGACAACCAAGTACATCCTCATTCATGAGAAAAGGTATCAGATGAATGAATAGACGGTATTGGCAAAATACAAAACAAATTGAAATTAACCCCCCCCCCCCTACACTGGAGTAAATTAGATTGAACCCTCTTCTATTACGAGGAAAGGTATAGAAGATCACATCAATTATTATATAATATTGGACGGATTTGAGCGTGATACAAGAATCTATTGCTCGAGCTATGTCAATATTGAACGAGTCGTAGACGAGAACACTTTTCTTTTCTTTTTTTGCCCCCCAAAAATTTGAACATCGCGCCGGCCGATATTTCGTTCAGTGTTGGGGGGGGGGGGGGGTATGAGCACTTTTCTTCTTCTTTTGTGGCCACAGTCCGTTGGTATTTTCTGGTACCGCGGGTTAAAACCTTGACCATCATGATTTTAAACCACTAATATAGCTTATCTTTGACATCCAAATTCAGTGTCCAATCTCTGGGCTTGTGTTGTCTTGATGTTTTTCTTGTTCCGTGTGGTCTTTCTCTTATCTTATGCCGGGCTTATATCCTTTAAAAAAATTATTAAATGAGACTGTGATATTATAAATAAAAAATATATTTTAAAATTGATTTTCTGTATCCCCTCCTTCCACTTTTAGCTAGCATTATTTATCTCTAACCCATTCTCTCTATATAATATTTTGTGTTATGTTCATACTTATTTTTACCCCTTTCATTATTTATTCTTTCATTTCTTGCTATCTTTCTTTCTTTCTTTCTATTTTCCTTTTATCATCCTACATTCAATTCCTCACAAGGTGTGGTTGGAGACTGGAAGAATTATTTCACTGACGAACAGAACAAGCGATTTGACGAGCTGTACAATAAGGAAATGGCTGGCTCTGGACTTGAATTCGAGTTTTAGGAGTTGCTGATAGGCCGTCTTTGACCATTGCCATCGTCGACTGAAATGTTATGAGGAGGGCTTTGTCCAACGTCTGCATGAACTATAGCCTGATAGAGAGATAGATAGATCGTCGACCGGAGTGAATATTGATTTTTTTAAATTTTAAATGACATTAAAATTGTGATACACATTCACCTCCAGCTCTCAAAAGAGGGCAGTAGACAGTTGTATATATTCTTGTAACAGGACTTCAATTCTAGTTATTATGATTCTTGATAATTCTATTTTTTTTTGCTATAGATTAATGCTGCATCGTCATTTAATAATTTATAGTAAAGTAAATATATATATATATATATATTTTTTTTTTGGGGGGGGGGGGGCTGAAATATCCAATTGTTGAATTTATTAAATAATTGTTTTACATAAATTCTGTCATCAAATGATTTATGTTTTGATATGATAAATCTGAACAAAATTTGTTCTTGATATGTTTCAATGCAAAGGAATATAATCATCGGTATCAGCATCACCTTTCTTTCGAAATAGTGTAAAATACATTCATGTTTATGTTACGAACCTTATACATATTCATGTATGTTAATGTAAATTATGTGCATGCGCAAAGGAATGAACTGTAGAATGATGATTTCTGATTAAAAAAAAACTAAGTCAATCTGCAAATTGCACAGACATTTTTTTCCTCGAATTCATAATGTTGTTACTGTTGTGTGGTTATGATTTTATGATATGGTTTTTTGATATAATGTCACCTTGCTGTGATTCGGGATTCGAACCCGGGACCTTTCGCACCCCACCGAGGATCATACCACTAGAGATTTAAGAAATAAAAATAAAAAGGTAACTTTACAGTAATTTTGAATATAACAAAGGATATGTATTGGGGATAATTGTTATTTCAGATGTGCATCAATTTTTTCTATCAAGTTGGGATTGTTACTTGTCGTTTTTCTTGGTGGTGATTTAAAAAAAAAAAGTTTCGTGGGGGGGGGGGGAGATTTATTGCTTGCAACTTAATTTGTGTAAAAACTTTTTTTTTGGTCACAAGTGGGCTCAATTACACATGCTTTCATTTACTCATTATCATGATCCTATCTGTTTGGATTGGAATCAATAAAGCTTGAAATTTAATTTGAGTTTGATTTTGAATTTGAGTTTGAATTTGAATTTGTTCAGCATTTAAACTACAGGCAATTGCACGTTTTATACCAGGTATCTCTCACCTTAATTTGTTCTACATAGTGCATTGAAAAATATCTTTATGGAAATGTTTGTGCATTAAAAGTTACATTTACATTCTAATGTTTATCACTGTCAAAGTACATTTGTACACTTTAAGCTCTATCAGTAGACATTGTTTGCTAACCGTCCTGCTGGAAAGGTTGCTGACATATGTCTTTATTAACAGCATTTGATCTATCTCCTAAAATGCCTCTGTATGTGTAAGTTGTTTGTGTCATTGTAAACGGTTTGGTTGAATCGTACTCTAATGACGGAGCTGGTATATTATTATCAAGATTTTAAAACATATATAAGAGAAAGGGTAGGGTTTTTTTTACACTGTAAATAAGTGGGGTAAAAAATATGTACCCAATATGAGCTACAAAGAGAACATATTATGTTTGTTGGGTAAAACACTGCCCTATTTTGGGTAAATTTAATTTTGTTTAGCACAGCTGTGAAATTCTACCCACCAAACATGCATGTTGCATTTTTTAAAGTCGAACACTGGGTAAAATTTTACCACCATGTTTTTACAGTCTGTTAATTCGTCACATTAAAAGAAGTAGGGCCTATATATTGTGGTTTAGTTTACACATAACGGAATTCCGACAGTTAGGGTTAGTTAGTTTCTTTTTCTGTTGGCACATCAAGTTTGACCAAGGAGAATCCTAGGGTGTTCTTTCCTCAAAGTGATTTGTAGAAGAGTGAAGGAGAGAAGAGATTTGAGAGAGAGAGAGGTAGAGGAAACGAGACAGGGAGAGACAGAGAGAAGGAGGGGGTGGGAGAGAAAAAAGAGAATGAGGGATGGAGGGGTGGGGTTTAATACTCGATATTGTTTATAATAATTATTCTTGACAGTATTATTAGTAGGCCTAGTAGTGTTATCTTTATTATAATAGTTTTGTATTATTATTATTATTTAAAAGCATGTAATTTATCATTTCAAACTCAATGGTTGCATTTAACTGATAAACTGAACATTATAGAGATCTCCCTGCCTCATCTGTTTCTCTCTCTCTCTCTCTCGTATTTCCTATACAGACTTGCTTCAATCTCTATCTCTCTCTATTTATATGCCTGCTCCATGCTTATTCTTTTCTCTCCCTCTTTCTATCTTATCTCTCTCTCTCTCTCTCTCTCTCATATCCTCTTCTCTATAAGATTTCCACAATCTCTCTCTCTACCTCTCTGATATGCCTGCTCCATATTTATATCTCTCCCCATCTCTCTCTCCTCTCTACTTTTCATAGTTACTCCTTTCACGACATGAACAAAAGTAAATTACCCGAGGAGGAATTATTACGTCATTGCATTTAATGAGACCCTTTTGTGCACAATGTGTCAGAGAATGAAGCTGCTGATCAAAAATTTGACAATTTACAATCGGAACATACTGTTTAGAATTTAGATCATTGATTCTTATTGATGTATACACCTCAATGGTTTCCTTTGCACGTTTTTTTCTACATAAATTATGGAGCACATGTACAAAATTGTACTCTTTAATGCATTATATCAACAATCAAATTTCTAGTGAATTGACGAACCTGTTGTCAACACAAAACTATATTGGGCTTTATATAAGCATATTGATACTTTACTTTTGAAACGAGATTCAAAATGGACTAGATATAGTTATTGATTTTTTTTATATTTTAGAGGCAAAGTTATGAATTCGTTGGGGTTAGGATTAAGGTCAGTGATGGCTGATCACCGATGATTTTTTTTTCTCGCATCGATTTGACAAAGGTCTCAACAAACAGAGAAGACGTGTGACCACAGGCACATGGAAAAGATCCAACTAGTATGCTTCACGAACTTTTCGATGCGCTTATTTCCCCTGAGCTGTAATAAAGAAAAGGGACAATATAAAGATTTATTAAACATATAATTATCTTCTAAGTTATTTTTTTGCTGTATCCTTACAATGCGCATGCACCGATTGCATTTCAGAAACAGTAGTGTTATATGATATGGTGTGATTCTGCTAGCGGGATAATTATGTATAATATATGCACTCTTAAAGGGCAAGTCCACTCCAAAAATAACTTGCTTACAATAAAAGCAGAAAAATCAGACAAACCAATCAAAAAACGTTTGAGCAAAATCGGATAACTAATAAGAAAGTTATGAATTTTTGAAAAAGTATGTAAAACTATGGAGCAATGAGAATCACAACACAATTTGCCAAGATGGTTATCAGTTTGTGACGTCATGTCCTCACAACTTATCAATTGCTTTATATAGTTTAATCCCATTAATTTCCCTTTTTATCCCCCAAAACTTGATTTCCCAATGCCTTTGCCCAGGTTATATGATTTGTATCATATTGCGTGCATGACATTTCCCAAAAACTTTTATGAATTTTGAAGAATTGATACTATTTTCTGAATATTGTATTTCATAATTATTGATTTTTATATAAATAGTTTATCAAAAATTTTCATGATTTAACTGGACATAAATTACTCTTTATTTGTGCATCCACACATCAAAAAATACTACAATCTAACTTGGATGCTGGAGTGAAGAAATATGATTCTTAGGGTGAAAATAGGAAATTTATATTATCAATATAAAGAAAATAATTAGTGGATAGTGAGGACCATACGTCGCAGACTCATGAGTGAGTTGCCAATTTGTGTAGTGATTTTCAAAGTTTTTAATGTCATTAAAAATTCATAACTTTCTTATTAGTTATCTGATTTTGCTCAGACTTTTTTTGATTGGTTTGTCTGATTTTTCTGGTTCTATTGAAAGTAAGTTATTTTGGAGTGGACTTGGGCTTTAAAGCAGTGTAGAGTTTGGTACAATTTTGAATATAAGAGGTAAAAATGGGAAGATGCATGCTTGTTTAAACATTACCGCACTTAAAAGCCTTCTTGTGTCAAGCTTGTCGAGTACTACTTAATTTATAGTCTTTAAAACAACACACTAATTTATAATTACAATGCCGGTGATCATGACCATCGTCAATATTACCAATAACATTGTTTATGCCTGTACTGGACATCCACGAATCATATATCAGCGTTAAAAGTAAAGACCAGTGTTCGAAACGATTCCATGACATTTGCTCCGGCGACAATTGCTCCGCTGTAAATTTCATACACTAATCGAATGGCTAACTTCAACCCTGGATTCAACACTATACCCTACCCTAAACCTAACATAAAACCCTATTGAAACCCTAACCCTAACCCTACATCTTAGACGAAATAAAGCCCGGAGCAATTGTCGCAGGAGCAAATGTCGTGTCACCGTTGGAAACGCCCCAATATCAAAAAATTAAATGGAAGCTCTTATCACCAATCATGTGAAAGAATATGTTTTGACTAATACATGATGATACAAATTTTGCCGGGAAACCGCCTACTAATTGATATATTTGGTAAATTAGTTTATCTATTGGTGTGTGAGAGATAAACGCATGTGTCGCGCACGTGTGCGTATAGTCCCATATACATCTTTCTGTGTGCAGGGCTTGTAACTTCACGAAGACTGGGCCAAATTTCTTATCATTTTGATGATTCCAGAACCTTGCAGTACACACCAATACTTATATGCTAGATGATCAACCTTTTCTGATCGATTCCACAACGTTTCTTTCACAATGCAATGCATGACCATAACTGGTCTTTATCTTTAAAAGTATTGTTATCATCAACTTAATCATTACGTTAAAAATGTCATCGATCATTTTGAGGATGGTAACGGAGGTATATAGATTACAGCGGAAGAAATATTATCTTGCCCACTTTACAAGTTTGTCTTCCTTGACTTTTAGAGGTGTCGAATCAAAAAATTGAGAGGTGGATTATTATCATTCATAGAAGGAGCATTTTATGTCGTATGCATTTTTCTTTAGATTTGGAAATATTGTTCATACCTCCGCCATGCAGACACAAATCTTTTGCATTTCCACTCAGACCATCACAAACTCCATCCTCTGTAACTGCAATACAAAAATAAAAGACAACAAAATAACCGAAACAATAATAAATCAATAAGTCAAATCTAATCAAACAAAACTTGGTTGGTAATTAAAGTTATCACTAAATATCATCGGCCAGGATAAGAAGTGATAAAAAGTATCTTTCTAAAAGTGCAAACTTTCTACAAATCTGGTCGGATTATGTCAAAACATCATTGCCATATTGGCACATTTCAATAGGTGACCGCACAAGCATACGACTATTGGTATTGCTTTAGGTGAAAAAAGAAGAAATCGTATTCGTTTAGTTGGTTAATACCATTATAAATAAATTGCTTACCGCTGATATGGTTCTCCTCGGCACTCAACGCAGCGGAATTTTCGATCTCATCTTCCTGGACAAAAACACTTGCTGCCACGGCCAAGGCAATCAGAAAGTAGAGAGCAATCATGGTTTTTGACGCCATTTTCAAAGTCTGAGGAAAATAGAATAAACATGACACATTTTGATCATTTGGTCAAAGTTACAGTGACATTGCAACACAATTAAGAATGTCAGCATAGAATAGTGACGTACTGAAACGTTACTTTTCCCACTCATCAAGAATGAAAAGAAAGCCGAAATCGAACAATATATATAGTTATAACGGAAACTGAAGGAACAAATCAAGCCAAAAATAACGGGCAGTGAGACGGCAGGCTGCCCTAAAATACGGGAATTGCGGTTTACTGTGATGAATGCAAGGCGGAAGGCTGCCGAATGTCTCCATTCAATCATATTCTCCGCTTTCTGAAATCAAACAACTGAGTATGTTTTGAATGCCCTGTTAAAAGACGTTGTTCCCGTTCCCTTCTGCACTGCTGTCTTTACCCCCACCCTCCTTGATAATGCGATAATAATGATTCAACGAATAGTTCCATTTTTCCAAAGAATAGAAGTAGGAGAATATAATGTCTTTAACATGCTATCATGGCACAGAAAATATTTAGAAATTGAATTTAAAGAATGATCTAAAAACAGTGCTTGACATATATACTACCTTGAAACATTACTCATACTTACGTAAAGCTAATCTCAGTGAGCTCTGGTATGGGAATCGTATTTTGAGAGAAAATTGCTACGATTTATTCTGGATTGTTTATCCTGCAGCAGATTTCCTTATCTTCATATTATGCTCATTTCTTAGCCACTATACATTTTTTACCAAAATTATTTTGCACATGTCATTTATTTGTAATATTGAACTTTTTGTGTAAATTTCGTTGGATTCTGTGAGAATTTATTTTCTATATTTACCAGAACTCAAGATTATCTTTAAACTTACCTTCCCAAATTATTAACTACTTTCAAAACACTAACTGTTTCAAATTCATGCTTGGGTATGAGCCATTATAATTTGAGCATGTTTGTTTGGTAAAATGTACCCGAAATTGGGTAAACATACATTAGCTAGTGGTGGTATAATATTCCCAATAAACAATTGTGTTTTTTAACCTCCTATTTGTACCAATTTACTCAATTTTCTAAAAGGGGAAGTCCCCCTGATATTGAGTTGTTAAACAAAATGAAAACAGAAGAATGAGAGGAACGGGTCAGTGAAAGTTTGAGCAAAAACCGAATAAAAATTAGAAAGTATAGAGTTTTTGAAGATTCAATCAATCAAACACGGTTATCACCCATTTTCCCTGTACTAAACGACTTTACAAACTTTAAAAGTTTATAAATTCCATCAAAAAATGTTCAATCATACATTCACCCTGAATATAATCGTTGCAAATATGTTTTATACATCCAGAAATGTATGAAACCAATCTATTCTGTCATCAATAACTGAGAAAATGAAAGTTCATGACAATTTCTGCACAGACCAAATTGGAGAGGGGTTCGCAAGATACGTCACAGTGTTGCCAACTTTAGGAAAGTAGATGTATTAAAGTCAGTGTGAGTAATGAGTCAGTGTAATAAGTCAGTATGAGTAAATGAGGATTAATGCCTTACCAAAGGACACCTAGCGCCCTTTAGTGTTACAAACACGGGACCTCCCATTACGAGTTTTAATACTGGGCCATTTCTATGGTGGCCCTGAAGGGACATCGCAAATAGATGAGATCGCGAATTATTCACGACGAAATTGGCGACGAATTCACGATATCGTCAATTTCGTCGTGAATAATTGGCGATAAAATTCACAACGTCGCCAGTAGACGAAAATGCGAATTATTCACGACGAAATTGGCGACGAAACCAGCCAGCCGTGAATCTCGTCGTGAATGTTATCGCCAATTATACACGACGAAATTGACGACGTCGTGAATTTCGTCGCCAATTTTGTCGTGAATAATTCGCGATTTCGTCTATTCGCGATGTCCCTCCAGGGCCACCATACATCTCACTCATTAGAGTTGCAAAAGCAAAGCTCCTGATTAATGTGCACTAAAAGCCCGCTGCGCAAGAGGCGAAGAAATGTCTGGAGAAATGCAGACCTACGCTCTACAACTGAATTTACTCTAATTATTCCCAAATCCAGACCCTCAACTCAGCTTCGAAAATATCCCCCTTTCCTGTCTTACCATTTTCAAAAGATCCCTTCAAAAAAATACTTCTTCCCTCAATAATAAAGTATGATTTACCTATTTATGAGTTTTAAGTTTCTCTCTTCACATTCTGTTACTTGGTAAGCGAAAAAGTCCTCTTTGTTTTAGCGCTCCTAAATAATCGATATCATTATCAGTACAATCACAAACTGACGCAATCAGAAAGACGACTTATATGCAACAGGCATAACGTAAGGGCTATTGGGCCTACCTGATTTTGATGCGGTATTCGAGCAGAATTCTGTGAGATGATGATATACTTTCTCGTAGCTTGATGTGACTGAGTGTCTCTATCCAGCTTTCTGTTGAAGTACTGACTAGATAGCATCTAGTTTTATTATAGAATATCACATCATGCCATGATCATCTGCTCGTGAACAACAAAATCACCGCATAATTATTCAACAACTTGCTGGTGGATAAAACTTTAAAAAATTGTAAAATATGACCTCGGAACAAATTGTTTGATTATTTTTATCCAAAATTGTAATCATGCTCAATGTCATCATTCTAGCATCCAGGGTCGGCGATTTCTTTTCATGGCCGGGGGTACGAAATGCGAGGGACGAGGGAGCAGTGGCGTAATGAGCAGAAACGGTAGAGGATAGTTCCTGGGTCTTAATATTACCTTACAAAGCTGCTGCGCATGCGTGATATGCGTGAACCACTTTTTTTTTACAGGAGACAGAGCTTGCCAAAGATATATCTTCCAACTTTTCCTTCATATCTTTCTTTCTCTCCTTTCTTCAATAATGTTTCACTCTTTCTTTCTTTCTTTCTTTCTATCTTTCTCAATTTGTTTGTTTGTTAGTGTGTTTGTTTGTTTCTTTCTTCCTTTCTAGTTCTTCTTTCATTTTCTGCAATGCCATATAATTATGTGAGAACAAATTAATTGCAAGCATTTACAAAGTCACTTCATGACGGCTTTATACTTCAAAACGTCTTCAACTCTCTCTTATACTAGGCATATGATTCCCTCCTCTTATCCCACCTATATCCCCTTTTCAAAACATATATTTATATTGTGTTTGTTTAAATTATTTCAAAGATAAATTTATATTGCATTTTTTATTATTGGAAGGTAATATTGAGAACCAGGAACTATCCTCTACCAAAAACGTTAGGGGGGGGGGGGAAGAAAAAACTCGGAATCACCACCACTCTTAGGTGTTACGCAGGCCTTGCCAACGTTTTTTTCAAAGTGGGGAGGGGGGCTAAAGTATTTACGATCAGGTAGAGCAAAGCGAGCGAAGCAAGTGGAGCGTAAATTGGCGTGGGGTCCAGGGGCACAGCCCCGGGTTGGGTCAGGGGTTTTAGGCATTTAATTAAGGTCAGATGAACATCCATGGGGCGAAGCCCTCGAAACTTCAGGGTAAAAACCGATTGAACAAAAACCGATTAAAAATAAGGAAGTATAGAGTTTTTGAAGATTCAATCAATCAAACACGGTGCAAATTGGCAATTCTGTAACAATTATTGTGAGGCCATCACCCATTTTTCCTGTACTAAAGAAATATAAAAGCTTATAAATTCCACCAACAAATTTTCAATCATATATTCAACTTGAATATAATCGTTGCAAATATGTTTTATACATCCAGAAATGTATGAAACCAATTTATTCTGTCATCAAAAACTCAAAAAATGAAAGTTCACGAATTTGTCTGTAAAGACCAAATTGGAGAGGGGTTCGCAAGATACGTCACAGTGTTGCCAACTTTAGGAAAGTAGATGTAAGTGAGTGTGATTAACGAGTCAGTGTAATAAGTCAGTATGAGTAATGAGGATTAATGCCTTACCAAAAGACATCTAGCACCTTTTAGTGTTAAGAACATGGTACCTCCCGGTTAAGTTTTAATACTGGGCCATCTCACTCATTAGAGTTGCACAAGCAAAGCTCCTGATTAATGTGCACTAAACGACCGCTGCGCAAGAGGCGAAGAAATGTCTGGAGAAATGCAGACCAACGCTCTACAACTGAATTTACTCTAATTAGTCCCAAATCCAGACCTTCAACTATACCGAAAAAAACGTTTTACAGTGGCTGCTTCGAAAATATCCCCCTTTCCATCAAAAAATTAACCTGTCTTACCATTTTTAAAAGATCCCTTAAAAAATACCACTTTCCTCAGTAATAAAGTAAGATTGACCTATTTATGAGTTTTAAGTTGCTCTCTTCACATTCTGTTACTTGGAAAGCGAAAAAGTCCTTTTTGTTTTAGCGCTCCTAAATAATCGATATCATTATCAGTACAATCACAAACTGACGCAATCAGAAAGACGACTCATGTGCAACAGGCATAACGTAAGGGCTATTGGGCCTACCTGATTTCAAAGCGGTATTCGAGCAGAATTCTGTAAGATGATGATATACTTTCTCGTAGCTTGATGTGACGTAGTGTCTCTATCCAGCTTTCTGTTGAAGTACTGACTAGATAGCATCTAGTTTTATTATAGAATATCACATCATGCCATGATCATCTGCTCGTGAACAACAAAATCACCGCATAATTATTCAACAACTTGCTGGTGGATAAAACTTTAAAAAATTGTAAAATATGACCTCGGAACAAATTGTTTGATTATTTTTATCCAAAATTGTAATCATGCTCAATGTCATCATTCTAGCATCCAGGGTCGGCGATTTCTTTTCATGGCCGGGGGTACGAAATGCGAGGGACGAGGGAGCAGTGGCGTAATGAGCAGAAACGGTAGAGGATAGTTCCTGGGTCTTAATATTACCTTACAAAGCTGCTGCGCATGCGTGATATGCGTGAACCACTTTTTTTTTACAGGAGACAGAGCTTGCCAAAGATATATCTTCCAACTTTTCCTTCATATCTTTCTTTCTCTCCTTTCTTCAATAATGTTTCACTCTTTCTTTCTTTCTTTCTTTCTATCTTTCTCAATTTGTTTGTTTGTTAGTGTGTTTGTTTGTTTCTTTCTTCCTTTCTAGTTCTTCTTTCATTTTCTGCAATGCCATATAATTATGTGAGAACAAATTAATTGCAAGCATTTACAAAGTCACTTCATGACGGCTTTATACTTCAAAACGTCTTCAACTCTCTCTTATACTAGGCATATGATTCCCTCCTCTTATCCCACCTATATCCCCTTTTCAAAACATATATTTATATTGTGTTTGTTTAAATTATTTCAAAGATAAATTTATATTGCATTTTTTATTATTGGAAGGTAATATTGAGAACCAGGAACTATCCTCTACCAAAAACGTTAGGGGGGGGGGAAGAAAAAACTCGGAATCACCACCACTCTTAGGTGTTACGCAGGCCTTGCCAACGTTTTTTTCAAAGTGGGGAGGGGGGCTAAAGTATTTACGATCAGGTAGAGCAAAGCGAGCGAAGCAAGTGGAGCGTAAATTGGCGTGGGGTCCAGGGGCACAGCCCCGGGTTGGGTCAGGGGTTTTAGGCATTTAATTAAGGTCAGATGAACATCCATGGGGCGAAGCCCTCGAAACTTCAGGGTAAAAACCGATTGAACAAAAACCGATTAAAAATAAGGAAGTATAGAGTTTTTGAAGATTCAATCAATCAAACACGGTGCAAATTGGCAATTCTGTAACAATTATTGTGAGGCCATCACCCATTTTTCCTGTACTAAAGAAATATAAAAGCTTATAAATTCCACCAACAAATTTTCAATCATATATTCAACTTGAATATAATCGTTGCAAATATGTTTTATACATCCAGAAATGTATGAAACCAATTTATTCTGTCATCAAAAACTCAAAAAATGAAAGTTCACGAATTTGTCTGTAAAGACCAAATTGGAGAGGGGTTCGCAAGATACGTCACAGTGTTGCCAACTTTAGGAAAGTAGATGTAAGTGAGTGTGATTAACGAGTCAGTGTAATAAGTCAGTATGAGTAATGAGGATTAATGCCTTACCAAAAGACATCTAGCACCTTTTAGTGTTAAGAACATGGTACCTCCCGGTTAAGTTTTAATACTGGGCCATCTCACTCATTAGAGTTGCACAAGCAAAGCTCCTGATTAATGTGCACTAAACGACCGCTGCGCAAGAGGCGAAGAAATGTCTGGAGAAATGCAGACCAACGCTCTACAACTGAATTTACTCTAATTAGTCCCAAATCCAGACCTTCAACTATACCGAAAAAAACGTTTTACAGTGGCTGCTTCGAAAATATCCCCCTTTCCATCAAAAAATTAACCTGTCTTACCATTTTTAAAAGATCCCTTAAAAAATACCACTTTCCTCAGTAATAAAGTAAGATTGACCTATTTATGAGTTTTAAGTTGCTCTCTTCACATTCTGTTACTTGGAAAGCGAAAAAGTCCTTTTTGTTTTAGCGCTCCTAAATAATCGATATCATTATCAGTACAATCACAAACTGACGCAATCAGAAAGACGACTCATGTGCAACAGGCATAACGTAAGGGCTATTGGGCCTACCTGATTTCAAAGCGGTATTCGAGCAGAATTCTGTAAGATGATGATATACTTTCTCGTAGCTTGATGTGACGTAGTGTCTCTATCCAGCTTTCTGTTGAAGTACTGTCTAGATCAGGCCTTCTCAACTAGTTTATTAGAAGTGCCAAAACGAAAAGAATTTGTAGTTGAAGTGCCACCCTGTAAGATCGACTGTGCTGCGAGGGAGCGTAGTGACCGAGCCGAAAATGGGTGGGGTCCAGGGGCGAAGCCCTAACAGGGGTAGCAGGGGGCTGAGCCCCCTGAAGCTCGTTGATTTAAGGCTTTCTAAAGGCCCAAATGGGGCAGTTTTAGCACCATTTCATTCCACAATATAATCAATCATAATTTCATATTGATGTGAAAAAATTAGTAAAATTCCTGAGTAAAATTACACTGGAGGTATATTTATATGTAGTTTTTTTGTGTGCAACAAACACGGGAAATGTCAAAATAAAGTGAAATTAAACAAACGAAAACGAGATGTTTCCAGATATTGGCAATGTTGAAATATCTCATCGTAAGCTAATTGTTGTTCAGAGCTTTTAAATTCGTATAAAATGGTAAAAACGATAAATTCCCCCTTTCTTCCTGTTTGTTAATAAAACAGGCATTTAGGGCTCGAATTCGACTGCAACTTCTTGATTTAGCTGAGTATTTAATTATAAAATATATATTCTCTTTTTTTCTGTTTTTTGTTTTGTTGTTGCAACAGTCGCGCGCCACTCCGACTGACCGCAAGCGCCACAAGTGGCGCGCGCGCCGCCAGTTGAGAAGGCCTGGTCTAGATAGCATCTAGTTTTATTATAGAATATCACAGGCTGCCATGATCATCAGTTCTGCTCGTAATCAACAAAATCCCCGCATAATTGGATATAGTATTCAACAACATGCTGGTGGATAAAC